AAGTCTCCAGACACGGGGTAGAAAAAAACCCAATTTCCCCCCCCCGGGAAAATTTAACGGGCCGCCACCCCCGGCAAATTCCTTCTTCCACGGAGCAGGGGGGGTTTTTTTTTCAATCCCTCCCGAATTTCCCCCAGGTCTACAAAACCCAAAAAAGGGGGAGGTTTTTTTTTGGTTTGTTTTTTCGGGGGGGCTTCCCCCCGGTTTTCCCCCCCCCCCCCCATCAGCACCCCCATCAAGGTAGCCCGGACGGTAGTGATAACAAGCCCCCCCCCCCCCTGACTCGCCTCCCCCCGGCCCCGCTCCCTCCCACCCCCCAAGGCCAGCCTTCCAGAAGATTGCGACGCCCATAAGGAAGAACAGAAGACCAGGCTGCAGCTCTCCAATCGAGCCCTCTATACACAGTAGTGAATTCTTCGATGCCCCTACCCCAGCGATAGACCTCGGCGCACCAACACATGCGTCGCTACAGAGTTGCATGGTGCTTGATTGATAATGTAGCGTGTCAAGTTGGGCCTCCGACGCCGAGAAAGGTATCTAGTCTACACATCTTGTTGCATATGTGCCCGCTACGATGTAGTCTAGTACTGAATACCTACGCTGGAACTGCTGTTGTTGGTCTACTGTCTATAGATGCCTTGTAGATATATGTAGACAACATGGACACAAATACTGCTGCTGTCGAGCCGATAGACTATGCCCGTAACGTCCGTTGCCTTCAAACCGTCCAGACCATGTTTGTTCGCGGTAGGTCTGTAGACTAATGTTTTATGGATATTGTGTGATACCCTGGCACGGTGGCTTAGAGGCTGTGTCGTCAACGTTAGTCGAGGTGATGAGACGTGGGAGAGGACAGCTTGGAAGATGAGAGTCTTTCCACGGTGTGAAGAAGATGTTGAGATATTGGAACACTGGCGCTTAGGTGGCCAACACAATCCGGAAGGATCACACGAGAGAGCGAGGCGGCTACCACGCGGAGAATTCTCCGTGGAGTACAATAATTCCTCCGCATGCTGTATACAGTACGTACAGCACGTTACAATTCGAACCGACATTCGAACCGACACATTATGAGATCTACATGCGATATACAAGAACATTGACTTACATTTTACAATACACGACACAACGGAGGGTTTCTCCCCGATATTTTGTCGTTGACCCAGTAGAGAACTACAGGGGATGTATTGTAAAATGTAAGTTACCTATACAGATGGTTTTGTACTTAGCACCAGCTGGCATCACTGGTATAAATCATCAGTGTAGACTTTAAAAGACTCGAAATAAGTCCAGTACCCAGCCGGTTTCCCTTCACTCACTGAAAAGACTCCACCACATCCCGTTCGACTGTGGGTATATCTCGAATGGGTAGTCTTTCTGTGTGTGTTTTTATTATTCCTTAATTGACTAATACTGACTAGTGTGCTAACATTTCCATAGCATCATGCGTCGAATGTGTTTGGATGTTGAAGAAGATGCTGCTGCCCAAACCAGCAAACCGTGTGAAGTGGTCTGATGATGATGTTTTCTTGTTCGGTCTCGGGTGCGCGGATACACAAATCAGTCGACAGAACCAAGAAGAGACGAAGAGCACACAAATATCCTGGCGAGACGACCAACTAAAACAACGCACCGCCGTCATTCTCGCTAGCTAACCCTGCACCTGCTGTTGTCCAAGGGGGCACATGGAGGGCAACGCTGGAACCGCTCAGCACATACCTCGAACGGAAAATACTTTCTGTGTGTGCCCCTCTGCCCTCTTGCGGGCTCGCACATGCATGTCTCTCTTCTTATGTAGCGTACAACAACGCAGGACCCAGCGGAACGTGAATGTTCTGTATGACGCCATCGCAAACGTTTAGTCTACAGAATCACTCCTCTCGCGGTTGATCCATGGTGCTCGCCCCGCGGGACCGTCTATTCAGAAGATCCACCGGTGCTGCCGTTGTCATATCTTGTGCGGGGTGAAAATCACAACTGCGGCACCCGGCGGCGAAGAGGGCGTGTAATCGCCCGCCAAACCATAAGCGCGCCGCCAACAATACTCGGCATCAGGCTTTCCTTGTCTGGCGAGCCCTGGTGTACACAGCCAAAGACATGGGATCGTGTAGCTCAAGCGAACGCGCGGATCCGGAAGAAGAAGAGCCGTCTGGTGTCGTCGTCGTCGGGGAAGTGGACGGCGGCATCAGGCCCGACGGTGCCGTCGAGAACGGCGCCGTTCATGAAGGAGCAATACTGGGGGTTGCGAGGTGAACATGACAAGGGTTCTGGCCATATTTCCCTTGACGCGGTCGTCTAGAAGTTGTACCAGAAACGCCTACTCCATCAAACAACTGAAGCCTGACCGCGGGTGTGAACATTCTAATGCGGATTTTGATATGTCTTGAGCGACGGGGAGGGCCGATAGCGGTTCTTTCGCGTTTGTCAATGGATAGACACTGCAATCCTGAGCCCGGACGTCTATCACGCTTCGCTGTGAGTAGTGAGCTGAATAGAGCATAATGCAGGCCAGTAATTATGCGCGTGGAGCATATTTGCATCCAACTCCAAACACAGGGGCACAAAATCTTTGTTGTTTGCGTCATCGATGGTGGTGGTGACCCAATGCGTTATGCCCGCCTCCCGTATGCCCGCCTGATCCTTTTGCAGTGCCGGAGTAGACGAGTTTGTGACGTGCGGGGAAGACAAGGTGTGACCAGTGGTGCTCGTGTTGCGAGCTGTGCATTCTCAAAACAACACTGCGCGTGTTTGTATTCCTCGTCGTCACGTTTGTCGCTCCTGTAAGGTCAGCGTCATCTGAGACTGCTGTGCGCCGTTTGTGACAACTCGCGGAACATTTGGTTAAAGAGAACGATGGGCGAAAGAAGGTTGTGCGCAACGTGGCAATACATGCATTTCCGTGTGCTAGTCCAAAACACGAGGCTTTGTCCCCGATTTGACAATATAATTATACCGCAGTATCATGAGCGATTTCTTCGGAGAGAGAAGTCTCACCTATCCGGCAAACCAACAATAACGACGATCCCCGTTCTTCCCGGCGCAGACTCTCCGCCTCAACAACAGCCTAGAAAAGATCGGCACATTCCGAAATACGCTAACGTTTCGGGGCCACACGAAAGCTGTCACTCGTGCCACGTACGGCGCAGCAACCGGTGTGATGTACAGCTGCTCGCGAGATACTACCGTCAGGCAGTGGAATCGATCTGGGATCTCGGCGCTTCGGGTATTTGAAGGCCACGACCTTGCCTGTACGGCGATAGCGCTCAGCGAGGGTGGGTAGATGAAGTGATGCGTTGACACGGTAACACAGAGATGCTGCGGGGGTGTACCGGGATGTTTGTCGCTTTGTCCGCAAAGCTGCAGATGTACTCCGTGGGCGCGAATCAACAGATGAATGCCGGGGCCGGCCATGAGCACAACCCACCACGGGTGACGCAAGACGCACGCAGCGAGATACATCGCTCGAAGGCTATTCAAGGTAGAAAAACATGCTGTAGCCCCTTCAAAGCCGTGGCACCCCACCATTCTCCGCTAAATAGGCCAGTACAGTAGTGCCTGGTCAGGTACGTGACATGGTGATGTGCTGTCCCAACCCAAGATCTTGCCCGCTCGTCAACCCATCCTTTCGAAACTGTTTCACGACGACGACGACCCGCCGCCCTACGAACACTCCCTGAAAGACGAGAAAACCCTCTACTCCGGATCTCGGGACACCAGCATACGTGCATGGGACGTCCAAACGGGACAGTGCACCTCCTCGGCAAAGGTGCCACGCAACCTGGTCACTTGCCTCAAGTGCCTCTCGGGGGGGCCGTCTTCTTCCGTAGTGCAAGGAGGGGAAGACTTGAAGCTCAGGGTGTGGGACACTCGGGAGGGGGGGCTGAGGTCTTCGATGACCGTCGACGGTTACACCTTTTTCCCGGTGGGGGCACCTCAACGTTGTAGCACCTGTTGCCTCTGCGTGTGGGGCTGTTCAACGAAATAATCGGAGGAGGGGGGGGGGGGGGGGG